CTCCATGCTTCAGTTTGCTAACTTAAAGAGCTCTTGCGAAGATTCAAGAAATAGGCTGGGGCGGTGGCTCACACCTGTAATCCTAGCACTCTGGGAGGCAGAGGCGGGAATTAATCCCTTGAGTTCAGGAGTTCAAGACCAGCCTAAGCAAGAGTGAGACCCCGTCTCTACCAAAAAGAAAGGAAAAAAGGAAAAAGAAAAAGAAACTCAGCTGGGTGTTCAGGGGTGCCCCTGTAGTCCGAGCTACCTAGGAGGCTGAGGCAGAAGGATTGCTTAGAGCACAGGAGTTTGAGGTTGCTCTGAGCTACAATGATGCCACTGCACTCTAGCCAGGCCGACAGAGTGAGACTCTGTCTCAACAAAAACAAAGAAGGCAACTGAACGCCTCTCCTCACAATCCCCACCCCTTCTTTAAAAATAAAATAAAATAAAATAAATTAACAACAAGCATTTAGAAGAGGATGTGGCACACAGTAAGCATATAATATTGTATTCTATGCACACTTACTTATCAGAAAAACAGTAAAACGTGAACTCTGCTCTCACTGAACCCCTCTATTTGTTGGGGGAATCTCCAAACATTAAGTTTCCTAAAATAAATTCCTCTTCGAATTGCGGCATTGACCACAAACTGCTTCAAAGTTCTTACTTCACACTAACAGTGAGAATTTATACGCCTTGCTCAAGACTGACTTACACCCTATGCTGTTCCTCTAATCCAAATCCTTTCCAGATTCTGTCTACTGGAAAGGTTCTCTTCTCCCCCACCCCATGGAGAACTGCTTGACCTACACCAACACTGGCTGACTTTTCTCTTACCAGCTAGACAGTCTAGCCTCTCATTCCATACTAGTTTTAATGTTCTCTCTATCAAATCATGTGTGTTACTCTTATCTCCACAATTTAGCCTTTAGCTCCTTAGAAATAACGTATTGCACAGTACTGTCATCTTTGCTTGAAAGACATGACACAGGTCCAGAGACACAGAGCTAGTTAGGAGCAAACCTGAGGCCATCCCCCAACTCTGAGTCCAAGGTTCTCCCCTCCAAGAGCAGGAACACATCCACATCCTGCAGTTCTTCCAAGATTCTCTGGTGCCCAGCATTATGTTGGGTTCATCAGTGGGGCTCACTCAATAGGTACTGTGGATAGAAAATGTCATTCCAGTGCCTTCACTTCTCCAATGATCCTACATAAGCCAAGAATGAAAGCCTTTTCTGGCAATGGTCAGATTCAGACTTTGAGACAGTGCTGCCACATTGCCATGACAACTGGTGGAAAAATGGTGATGATTCAAATTAGACTATATCCCTAGAACGTTTCCTGAGAATCCCAGATGTTCTCAGTCCAGTGTGTCCCCAGGTCATCTTTGACATAGAGAAAGGTCTTCAGGCAGATGTCATGTAGATGCCTTAGATTCTCATTTCAGAGGATCAAATGTTCCTGTCTTAGAATTTATCTGGTCTTCCAGTTTCCCTAGATGGGGGTAGAATAGACCATCTATAATTACCCTGCATAAGAGGGAATCTCCCAAATT